TCTTGTACTCTACAATAATTGTGAAATAATATATTCTGATTTCCCACATATGCATGACACAATTTCCCTCCATAGGTTCACTTTTATTCATTTATTGAAGTTATAATGAGATTTCTACTCCAAGTTTGATATTATAATGTTATCACAGTTGGAGATTGATGCCAACTTCAATTATTTTCTGATTTGGGGACAAATAAACACTACTTCATATTTAGAGAACACTTACTGGATTACAGTCTCTCTCTTAGACAATTAACTCATGCTCATCCAGAGGAGAGAGATATAAGTGAACATATCCATCATCACCAGAGAAGACACATTCCTGATACATGTCTTAGCCTCAGAGGACGTGTTCTACTTGACATATTCAACACAGATGTACAACCCCAACAACAGGCAGCATCAGAGCTAGGTAGTATAATTTCAAAGGAGCATATCCTTCAGGGAAGTGCTAAAGGATCTTAGAAAAAAATGAAACTTGGGGGGTGTTTTGTTCTTTAATGTGGTATGCACAGGGAGAATTTTCCGAAATAGGAATAATGCGAAGTGGGTTTTGGAAGTTGGATATCATTTAGGTGAGCAGAGGGAAGGATGAGGAAGTAGAGATGATAAATATATTCTCTTATAAGTCAGATCAAGGAATAACCCACAGATCCATTCAACTAAATAATAAACTCCCATAGGGCTGTAGACAATGACCCCTCTCCCAAATGCATATGTTGAAATCCTAACCTCCAGTGTAACACTATTTGAAGGTGGGCCCTTTGGGAGGTGATTAGGGCATGAGGGGGAGGCCTCATGAATGAGATTAATGCCCTTATAACAGAGACCCTAAAGAGCTACCATGGCCCTTCTGCCACATGAGGACAAAGGAGATGGTTGTTTACCATCTATGAACCAAGACACAGTCCTTCATTCGACATTTAATTTGCCAGCACCTTGATCTTGGACTTAAAACCTCCAGAAGTATGAGGAATAAATGTCTGTTGTTTTTATTTTTTTAAGATTTTATTTCTTTATTTGACAGAGAGAGAGAGAGACATCAAGAGCAGGAACACAAGCAGGGGGAGTGGGAGAGGGAGAAGCAGGCTTCCCGCTGAGCAGGGAGCCTGATGTGGGGCTCGATCCCAGGACCCTGGGACCATGACCTGAGCCGAAGGCAGACGTTTAACGACTGAGCCACCCAGGCGCCCCTGTCTGTTGTTTTTAAAAGCTGTCCAGGGTCAGTATTCTGTGATAGCAGCCCAACTGGACAAAGACAATTAGAAATGAATACAAGAGACTGGAGGTCAGAAATACAGTTGGGGTCAGGTTATGGGGTTCCTTCAATATCAGGGTCATGTTTCCAGAAATGTTTATATTACTGGTGGTATAGAGCAGAACAGGACTGCAGTGAATGTTTCCGGATGGGGAGGCATGAGCCTAGGATGGGAATGTCACTGTCTTGGCGTACTGGTGAACCAAAAGCCCCCTCCAAGATAGAACAAGGGCCTTCACTGGAGTAGCTTCTGTGAGGATCAAAACAGGTTGTGGCTAATGAAGAGATGTTGCAAAATTTTATGATTACATGGTTGGACACTTGTGGGAGTTTGAGAAGAGAGGGGGCAGAGTTTATAAAGGGCAAAGATTCAAAAAATAGCGATAATGTGAGAGGTCAGTGACAGGTCATTGACAGGTCATAAAAATTACTAGTTTTAAGTCTAGGTAATTCAAAGAGCGGATTTTTTTTTTTTTTAAGTTATCTCTACACCCAATGCTGTGCTTGAACTCACAACCCAGAGATCAAGCGTTGTATGCTTTTCCCACTGAGCCAGCCAGGCACCCCTCAAAGAGCAGCTTTCTTTTTCTAATTTTGAGTCAATACTTTTAAGAGAAGCCTTAATTTACCTTTCTTTTTTTTTAAATATTTTATTTATTTATTTGACAGAGAGAGATAGCGAGAGAGAGAACACAAGCAGGCTTCCCGCCGAGCAGGGAGCCCAACATGGAACTTGATCCCAGGACCCTGGGACCATGACCCGAGCTGAAGGCAGATGCTTAACAACTGAGCCACCCAGGCGCCCCTTAATTTACCTTTCAATAGCTACATGTTAAAACTGAATTTATTGATGGAGGTGCACATCATAAATGCTTGTCTGAATTATATAAATAATCCGAGATGATAACATAAATTGTATGTTGGGTTTTGTTGTTATTGTTATTTGTTTTGCTTTTTTTTGCTTTAAAGAGTTTTTTCTTATATAGGGTAAATAATACAGTCAGTCTTCACTACAGGTCAAATTACAACATGCATATCAATAATCCTAACCTCCACATTCTAAATTCTGTTAGTTGTTAAATCTAAATCATATACTATTTGGAAAATTTTTCTTTACTGTGGTTAAACAAATGAAATTTCTTTATAATAAGATTCTCAAGTTCTCTAATAAAACAATTATTATTTTTTGTTAGTGCACATGCTGAACCACTAAGAACAGTTTCTGTGCAGCGGTGAAGAAATAATTCAGACCAGGACAGCTCTAAGAACTGTGACAGCTCAGTGGGTCAGGGGTAACATCAGTCCTTTTAGAAAACATCCTTAGAATTCCAGAGCTACTGTCAGTGTTGAGTTGGGTACGTTCGAGAACTAGACAACCGTTTCAAGATGTAAGGGGAATCAGCAAGCAAGGAGACTAGAGGCTCCCCCACCTCATTAATTAGAATTTGATACTATTTGAAACTGCTTTGCTGTCAGCCAGTGTGGAAATGTTCCAACCATCTTAACAATGCTCACATTTCTATTTCATGTCGTTATTTATCCAAAACATTATATGAGTAAAGACTCCTAACACTTAGGAGTCCATGGCATTCTGTTTCTGATATGCTTTGCCTATTTGTGTAATGATACCTAGCATGGTTACTTCCGTCCCCAGAAGAGCTCCCCTATGCCCATAATAGACAGTCCACATAAAGGCATTCTAAGTATGGAGATACAAGATAGATTATACAATTTAATAGATGAAAGAATTTTCCTCACCTTTAGGACTGGAAACAGGCAGAAATACGAAATATTTGTTCTCTGTCTCAAACCAAAAATTGGAGGTAACTGAGTAATTTATGTGAACCCAAGGAGTTCTTTCTTATCAGCCTTGCTTGCTTTGCTTTCTCTAGTAAAAATATCTAAGTCAGTAAAAACATCATGATGTCATACATATAACTCACCTATATTTATAAAGATCTTAGAGGCACTGATGCCAATCTATATACTATTTACTGAAATAAAATACAATGAATATTGTTATTCCACCCTTAATATTACCACTGATGATCTTGTTAAAATACTGAAGATGGTAGGAATGTTGTTTTCTAAATGTTATAGTTAACATATAAAGTGGTAGTAATGTCACCATAAGGACATATATTTTTTAAAGACAGGAAATCAACATTTAAGCAGGTTTCCTTTAGAATAAGATAGAATTATAGGAATTATAATAAAATTATAAATTATAATAATTATAAAACATAAAATAAAATATAATATAAAATAAAAATATTTTTAAATTTTATGATAAATTAGGAAATGGAAATAAAGAAGTATTTTTTAAAGAGTACATACGGAGAATTTTCTTAATGGAAAGAGAAAGAATTACTTTTAAAAAAGAGTCATATGATGATATTTGAATATATTGGATTCTCTATTTTGGTTTTTATTTTTATGTAATAAGTCCTCGCAGTTTCTATTACAATTCTATTGTTACAACATACCACCATTAGTATCATGCTTTATTTGGAATAAAAACTAGTAATTTTTAGAAAGGCAGGACGTGGGTAAGAAATCTTGTGTCATATTACCAAGGATTATATTCATAGAAACTTTCCTAAACATTCAAAGTTTAGGGTCATATGTGTTAGACAGGAGAAAGTTTACCTAAGTAATTCCTAAAGGAGATAGTTGAGTGCAATATATGACAAAAAGGAAAAGTGGAAATGAGTTTCTAAAAACAGACAACAGATATTGTAAATGACCCAGAAAAACCAAAAGGTGTTGTATATCTGAAAATGCATAAAGGGAGTGCAAATAAAGTATATCATTATATATTCAATATATTAACTTATATATACCTTAATATATTAATATATTAACTAGATGTACAATTGTCTGTGGTTGGAGACTTTTCTCAATCCACAAAATAGTAAGTATGTGATTTGTGTGTATTTCTGCTGACAATAGCAACAGTACCATTTCAGTACAATTTCTTCTGCCCACTGTCAAATTTTCCACAAAACTTCATATATTCAACAAACAATCTCTAATTAGTACAGAGTTTTAAAACCAGAGGATAAAGCTTCATTTGCCTTTTTTAAATATTCATAAGTTTACCTAAGAAATTCCAATTTCTTTGAAAGGGACATTCCTCTTTCTTTTGACAAATTAAAAAAAAAATGGATATACTTTTTTTCTTGCTGATAAATAGGGAAAAAATGTAACTTAAAAATCATCCCAGAAAATATTTGTTCTTTCTTTATGGTAAAAATCATAGATCAAAGAGAAAACTAATGGGGAATGGAATATATTATGATTATATGAACCAAAAATTCTCCAAAGAGTTCAATATTCTTTCATTTTTTTATCCCCCCCACTTCCCAGATTCTTTGTATTCAGTGTATTCTCTGAGAATGTAAAAGTTCCTTTTGTTGTTCTCTGAATTGCACTCATGCATTTCTTTTTGTGACTTTTCTCTCAAATCCACAGTTGCTTAAAAACAATGGTGTATTATAACTTTACTTGAATTACCTTGACAACACCGTTTTGCAGATCTGCAACAATTTAATGTCTATAAAGGAAGACAATGATTGCTTTCAATAAGAAGTTTTTAAGTATTAAAAAATTGTCCACAAAAGCCTATTTTGTATTGTAACTAACATTATTTGATAATTAAATTCAAATAATTCCAATTGACTTCCAGAATCTAAGTCCAACAGTGCTACCTAATCTGTAATACAAAGAGTCAATACTTTACCTCACTTTCAAATTCCCTTGTTGGAGCTGTCCATCGTACACCGATAAAATATCAAAATCTTCTTCAAGGGCAAAGGTATGAAATGACAACTGTATCCGATTACGTTCTCCTGTGATAATGATCCAGGTGCAATTAGCGTAGTTTGGATAACCATGTGGAAACCCTGGGCTCTCGATGGTGCCATTGGGACCCTGGACTAAACCGCCACAGTTCTGACCTGAAAGAGAAAGCACACACACACAAAAAAAACAGCATATTATTTTGGCCTATCTTTACTCTGGGATTTTCTTTCTTAATTTCCAACCAGTTGGCCAATTTTTATAATGACTTATTTTGTGACCCTCCGTGCACAAATATTGAATGATAAATTGCAAAAGTGTTCTCCAGTGCTAAAAGGTGTGTGGGGTGGGGTGGGGGGGGAAGGCAAAGAAGGAAAATATACAAATTTAGGAATTCATATTAGAAATTTGAGAAAAAATGTTTTCTGTAATTTTCAAATACATCTTCATTGACACCCACCTGCCATATTCGTGAAACAAATTTGGTGTCAATTATCTGCCACAGCATCATGCTGGATGCTGAAAAACTCTGCCTTTAAGTTCCTTGCTCAGAGAAACTACATTGACAGATCAAATAACCGTTATAAAACTACACACACATACACACATATTAGTATATCCAAATGACTGCAACCTGAAGCAACATGAATAATTAGGGAAAACCACACTCAGTATTCAAACTATTGATTTCTACCTACACTGGCAAAGTCTCACAAAGCCAAAGAATAAAACAAGACTGCAGAGATCTACCCAGTTCAAAATAAAAGGTATAAAACAAGAGAAATTAAATTATGCAAAAATTAAGGAGCAGCCCATCAGAATAAGGGAACTTCCCTCCATCAATGTCTTCCTGTTCCCATGGGCGGGATTCAGAGGTTGGCAGGGGAGGGTGACTGCATATCCCTGTGACAGATGCCACTGAAGAAAAGGCTCAGAGTCAGGCTTCCCTAAGCAAGGTGCAGGATATCCCACACTTTCTTCCCCCTTCTTATTCTAACTTCCCTTTAATAAGCTGAATTAGGATTGCTCTTACTGTTCAAGATTGACATTTGTGATGTGGTGATTTATAATAAGATGTATAATAAGAAATATATATTTGGTCTTTGTCCCCTTTGGCACAGAGCTCCTAAAACCTTTGGAATTTCCTTAAGGGATGTAAGAAAAAAAAGTGTCTTGTGTCATGTTAATGAGAGGACTTTTGGGAAGCATGTAAAGTTGGGGGCCAGTTGCAAGGAGAAATAAGCAAGTGATTAGAGGGGTTGGAACTTTCAGTCCCACCCCCATGACCTCCTGGAAGGGGACAGGGGCTAGAGGTTAGATCATTCGCCAATGGCCAATGATACCTATTAATCAATCATACCTATGTAATGAAGTCTCCATAAAAACACAAAAAGAAAGGAGTTCACAGGGCTTCTAGGTTGGTGAGTATGAATGACGCTCCCCTGTGCATCTCATCTGGCTGTTGATTTGTATCTTTTAATACCCTTTATAATAAACCAGGAGTCTAGAGAGTAAACGGGTTTCCTGAGTTGCGTGAGCCCCACCTGGCACATTAATGGAACCTGAGGAAGAGGTTGTGGGAACCTCTGATTTATAGCCGGTAGGTCAGAAATACAGGTAACAACCTGGACTTTGGGTTTGTGTCTGGAGTGGAAGGCAGTGCCATAGAACTGAGCCCTTTACCTGTGCAATCTGATGCTATCTGCACGTGGACAGTGGCAGGAATGAGGTGGACTGCCGGATGGCCAGCTGGTGTCCTGAGAATTGCTTGTTTGTTGGTTGGGTCCCTGCTTCTGCCCTGACTCCTGGTGGAATTAGTGCAGAAACCAAATCACATGATAATGGGGGCCAGTCAGGGAGAACAGTGAGCACCATAAAGCTGCCTTCAGCCACTGAGCAGGTTGAAACTGTTCCTAAGAGCTGGTTGCATGTGGCTTTGGGTCCTGAAGATTTTATGGTATTGATTTTAACATTGGGTTTCTCTGGCAGTTGTCAGATTTCAAGAGCAGTTCCGAGGAACAAGCGCCCCCCCCCTTTTTTTTTTGTAAATTGTAGCCTCAGGATTCAATGTACAAGGACTTGTGGCAAAAGGACAGTGTCCGGGAGATTCGCGACAGCCACGTACCTGCACATCCACTGTGTTCCTACCACCAGACAAACCTAGGACCCTTGCCTTCCTGAGCTGCCCAGTGCCGCTCCTGCCTCACACCCTCCTCCTTCATCCACCTGCATGTGCTCCATCATTCACTCCACTCCTACCCCTTCTTCCTTCCTCCTCTCTTCCCTCCTTCCCACGTCTAATGTAGAAAGCCTCAGCAACACGCTGCCCGGTTCCCGCTGTGGCTTACACATGCCCTATTCTGTGACTTCTCCTCGCGAGCCTGCCACGGCGATATGTGAGTCAACTAGCCCGAATGAATAGGTCAGGACAGACAGGCCATTTGGACTGCCCAAATGAGCACATTTTAATCACTTTAACTGTGAATATCACCATCATGGGAGGAAACAAAGTAACCCCTATGGAATCCTAGCCTTTCCTCTACCTGGGGCTAGCTATTAAGTAGCCACTGAAACCTGGCTGCGGGCTTTCTTTCCTTCTTCAACTGGACATTTCCCACCTCTTGTTTTGACAGAAGGAATATAGGAAAGTTTGGGAGGGATCAGGGCACACTCAGATTATTATATGTAGTGTAAATTTCTGAATACAAGTATTATCTCAGCTTTTACTGTTGAACTGCAAACGGGAGATTATTCGCAACTACATTTTACATGTTAAAAAAAATACAATAGTCGCTCTCAGAGACTCAAGTCTTTCACAGGCATATTATCAAAGGCTGGTGGGAGTTTGCTCAATCTTAATAAAAAAGATTTAATGAAAGGGATTTATGAGTTTAAAACAAAGAACTAATAAGAAGCCCATTTTCCATTAAATTTAAATCTAACAACACTGTAACAAGTAGATATCAAAGCTGTCGGGTTTTGAAAGGTCTTTAAGGAAAAATAGCTTTTCTGGTTTATCTAGCAATTCTTGCTTCACAGTAAGTCAAAAAGTGAAGACTTGATTATAAATTGGAGGAAAGAAAAAAAATCAAGAGAAAAGTGTCCTCTGGAAGGTAGTTACTGTTATAGACCCATCACGCTGAACCAGATTATTAGATATTAAGATTTTCTCCATGGAATAACATTTAGGCTGCAGTGGGTCCCAATTAGTATAGTGCATTTTGAAGAATGAGTCACATTTGATCAGTAGACAGAATTTTCCACAGGCCCTGGCAGAAACACCAGGATCTGCTCAAAAGTTAGACAAGTAACTCTCAGGTGTGGCTGCACATTCCGAACAATGTAGGGGCTTTTCAAGTGCCTATGCCTCAGATCAGTTCTGATGCAGGTGTCTGGACCAAGAATATCCAGGACAACCTTGAAGAACAGAACTGGAGATCTTATGTTACTAAAGATCACAGCTTATTATAAAGATTGAATAATCCAAACAGTGTTTAATTGGTACAAACCTAGAAACATAGACAATGGCACAGAATAGAAAGTCCCAAAACAAATTCATGGAGATACAGACTCTAGATTTATAACAAAGGTGCAGTGCACTACAAAAAGGATGGTATTTTCAGTAGATGCTGCTGTGCCAACTAGATATCCAGATAGGAAAAATAAACCTCCATCCCTTCCTTACATTTCACACAAACATCAATTCCTTATGAATTGCAGACCTAAATGTGAAGTGTAAAACAATCATGCTTCCAAACAAACAAACAAACAAACAAACAAAAACCATAAAAAATCTTCTTAACTGTGGGGTAAGCCAAGACTTCTTAAATAGAACACAAAAAGTAATACTCCTAAAAGGAAAGAATGAAAAAGAAACAGAAACATGGGGATGTTTGTATTCAACAAATAGCATGATCATAATATAATAAATAAGCCTCACAAATCAATAAGAAAAAGGTAATAGAATAGAAAAACAATGATTACAGGCAGCTGGAGATTCAGAATCAGAGTGGGGTTTTTCTAAAATTGGAGAAACAAATGGATCATAAAATGGAAATCCTTCAGCAGCCCTGACCACTTTCTCGTCCGGGCCAGCACCGATTCAAGAGGTGTAAGGAAGTAACATTTTGTGATACAAAAAAAAAAAAAAAAAATCCCTATTTCATTGGTCTTTCTTTGTAGGAGCAATGACCCCACCCTGCTTTATGCCATCCAACTTTCCGTCTCACTAGGGAATGTGAACTTAGCAGTGATTTACTCACTGTCTTCTAACCCATTAAATCATCTCGACTCTTACTTAAAAACAACAACACACATGGCATGTGAATATAATTATTTGTCTAAGCATCAGGACTACAATAGTATTGACTAGAGCTCCTGAGAGTAATTCAAAATCTATACTAATGTTGCATGAAAAGACATCTCCTTAATAACGATTACTGTAAAATTGTGGACCTCAGCATCATTATGATCTGTCTGGGGTTCGTGCTTCCTAACACACTCACCAAACATAATGGCTGATACCACCTATGATTAAACTAAAATTAGTCTCCGAGTGGTTAATCCCAGGATGTAGAGTGATTATAATTAATGAATGCAAATAATTTACAGATGACGTCCTCCACTGGTACCAGAAGTTACTTCAGGCATCTTGGTAAGGTATGTCTGAAAGAAAGATTGCTTTAATAGCAAAACATTCTTGAATAAAATACAGCTACAGATGAATGTATGTAGATTGCACGCGACAGTCACATACATCTCTGAAGTCACGCATCGAGTATGGGTCTGGCCTGTGGCCCCACTACTGGCCAATACCAAGGTTCGGGTTCTTCCTCAGATGTTCCCAGCGAAGATTTCTGCCTGTCCCCTTATATTTTCCCCTCTTGGTTCTTATAATCTAATGGCCTGCTACAGAAAACTCTCAAATATTTCACAAATGTTTCCTTTTTATATGGCCTAAATCTATGTTTCTCCATTTAAATGTGGACCTCAAAAACAGCTTAAAATAAGCAGATTATTTTAACTGGACAAAATTTGATGGATACATTTTTAAATACTGTAAACATAGTCACACATTAACATATTGCTCAACGGGCATCTATTGTAAGTACTTTTGTAAGTTATATTTCCTAAGGGCACTGAAGTAATCTGCAGATAATTTTAACCTTTTAGTGAAAATCGTGTTGTTCTCTGCAAGACTGAAAACTCAATTATGACAGAAGAAAATGTCTAATGGTCTTCTTTCTTCAAGTACTGATGCTGGAAGTTACCTTGAAATCAAATGTCAATGTCCATGGGAGAGAAAGAGTGTATGTGTGTATGCATATGAACGGCATGCATACCTTAAATACACATCACCCAGAAACACACAGAACCAAACCCACAGCTAAGTTGAAGCCACGATTCAAACAAACCCAGTGAGAACATTTCAATACATGCCTGAATTTGAAGAGACTGGTGTCTAATAATGTGGTATATCGGTTATATCTCAATGAAGCCAGGAAAACTAAA